GTAATTATTCAGCCTCGATCAACTTCATCTCGCGGCCAGGTAATTCCGTAGGAGACGATCTGGAGCGGCTTTACAGTCACGAGTTCGGCGACATAGAAGAGGACCGGGTATCTATGTCGAGAGAACACCGAGCAGCCCTGACAGTCGTTACCGAAACGGCACGACACGACGAAATCCAATTCGAAGTGCCGTTACCCTGGCGAACGGGATCCAATCGACTGCCAGACAATCGAGAAATAGCACTCCCCAGGCTCAACTACCTGAAAGGACGATTAAAGAGGAATGCACAGTTGAAGGAGGCCTACTGTAACGCCATGAAACGCAAACTAGAGTTGGGATATATCGAACGCGCAATGGGAAAAATCGAAAAAGAGCAACCATTTTGGTAACTTCCGCACTACCCTGTCATAAACCCCAAGAAACCTCAGAAGATCCGGATTGTCTTCGATTGTGCTGCCAGGTGTGCTGGGATTGCCCTAAATGACCGTCTATTACAAGGCCCAGACCTGCCTACTCCGCTGGTTGAGGTGCTGTGCAGATTCCGGCTGGGGTCATTTGCAGTAGCGGTTGATATCGAGATGTTCATGCAGGTCAAAGTCCCCGAAAGGCAGAGGGATGCTCTACGGTTGTGGTGGCGGCCGGATGGAGACCCAGATGGACCTGCCCAAGAGTATCGGATGACGGTGCACCCATTTGGCGCGATACCTTCTCCTTTCTGTGCAAACTTCGCGTTGAAAACGACCGTAAATCGGTTTTCTCAGCACTTCGAAACCCCGGTGGGCTGCTGTGTTGAACATAATTTTTATGTGGACGACTTCCTGGGATCCTTTGATAGCATCGAGGAAGCAGTTCGACACATTAGGGATCTATTCAAGTTACTCCTCATGGGAGGGTTCAAGTTGACCAAGTGGAGGTCCAACAGTCGTCATGCAATCGATTGCTTTGACCAAATGAATGTCCAACAGTCGTCATGCAATCGATTGCATCCCAATTGATGAGTGGGCGCCGAGTCTCCGTGACTTGCAGGGGAATCCGTTACCAACAGATAGAGCACTTGGGGTTCGTCGCACCGTGGCTACTGCCGGGCAAGCTTCTGCTGCAGGACCTGTGTAGAAAAAAGGTCACTTGGGATGAGACCCTATGCGAGGCGGATCTGTGTAGAAAAAAGGTCACTTGGGATGAGACCCTATGCGAGGCGGATCACAAGACCTGGAAAAGGTCACTTGGGATGAGACCTGGCTGAGCCTATCCAAGCTGGGCGACATACGAAGCCCTCGTTCCATACCAGGAATGCACAAACGAGAGCACAGCGAGTTACATGTTTTTCGGACCCGTCGGAGGTGAGATACGGGGTGGTGGCCTACGATTGCTCGTCTCGGCCAGGAGGAAGAAGGCATAGCAGTATTCTGTTCGCAAAGACCAGGGTTGCCCCTCCAAAGTCAGTCAGACAAATCGGATTTATTCACTTCGCCTTTGTTGCCATTGCATGGTTTGTCTAGTGGCAATATTTGGCAGCTGGTTTGTAGATACCAGTTAGTAGTCGTCTACTTGACTGTTCTAAACTCCTAAGATTAAATCGCACGATAACTTTCATGCTTCCTTCCCTCCCACTCCCTCATCAGCTAGAAAAAAACCTAGACTGTTTTGCGTTTCCGTCTTCTTTTCCAGAGATCCGCTGCTGTAAGAAAAAAGAGCGACTACCGTTAGATTGGCACGATATTCAATAGTGAATTCGGAGTATAACTGAAAACCCAGAAGCAAGAAACAATAAAATCTTGCAACGACTGGGCTGCTTTCCCATCATGCACACTCGGAATGACCCCCATTTCTGTCCATTCCCGTCCAACGATCTGCAGGCTGCCTCTTGTTGTTTTACTCACTGATTGTCGTATTTCCAATTCTCTCATCATTCATCCGGTATAGCGATTCTTGTTTTTCGTCCTACTTCCACCGAATTGCTCTTTTGGAGCATTCCGCCAACTCGAAACTTTTACTCTGATACCTTGTCCACTTTTGTATATATGTTCAATGCGACCTTCAAAGTTTTCCGTTTCGGCTTTTCCTATAAGGATGATTATGTTGTACATTTGATCATGCACATGCACGCTTCACGGGGCTCCATGAAATATACACTTTGTTAGATCCAAATGACTATCAAGGCCAACGATGAGTGACGCGCAACCTCAGAAGCCAAGTCCAAGTTTTCTAGAGGTTTATTCGACTCCAACAATAGAGAATAAGTATGCGGTACTGTAAATATTAGGCGTCATAATTACATAAACAACACACCTCAAATCGTGACGTTCCCAGGGGGTATGCCTGAACCGGCGAAATAAACAATGCCAATCGAGAACCAAGATGCAAACGAGGGAGTTCACCACTCCGTCAAACGAACAGGCGATAAGTGAAATGACGTCAAAGTGTACATGGGACAGGGCGACACATGGGTGAGACTGAGGATCAATCCGGATAAGATTAGGCAACTCCATAGGGTAGGGTGAGTCAGACCATATCAAGGTCAGGGACAACGGTCAAGGGAAGGAGAGGGGGAACCAAGTGTGGTGGGCGAATGAAGAGATGGAACGGACGAAAAGGGCATGTCCGATGATCGATAATACGTACGGGTCAGACAATGACACTGGAGGGAGAGGTGACTAGACGGACTGTTGGGGTGGAACGTGTAGAGGGCGGCAAACAGATTCAACACCGCCTCCCCAAAGCCGGCACAGCTTTAACTACAGCTACGCTCGCTACTGCGCTTCATGAGCTCAACCCCACAATCGCTGGAGCCAAACCCAGGTACGCCCTACTCACGAGCGGCATACGTAAATCTCGTCTACATCTTCTAGCAGACAAAGTTTTCTAATATCCCTCCTTGGTACTCCATTCGCAGTTCTTGCTTCAACCTCCCGCGCATGTCCATCAGCGCTTTTCAATGCTTTCACGATGAGACCTCGAGACCATCTACCGCGGGGTTGATTTCCTCCAAGAAGTAACACCCAGTCGCCTTCCTTTAGTTTTCGTCGTACGCGCCTCCGCTTTCCCCTGGCTTGCAATGTAGGTGAGTATTCTCCTATCCAACGGCGCCAGAATGTGTCAAAAGTTTGCTTTGCCTCCATTGCTGAGTGTAACGAGCTCGCAGATCAACCGGATCCCCTGTGGGTTCCATGACTCCTCTCATTAACAGGAGGCTATTGGGTGTGAGAACTTCTAGGTTATCCGTATTGCTATAGACGGGTACTAGGGGGCGGTTGTTGAGGATCCTTTCGACATCAGTGAGATATGTGAGTAGTGTTTCGTCCGTTAGAATTTGTTCTCGTGGCACGGCACTTAAGATCCTGCGTATAGAACGGATTACTTTCTCCCACACACCACCCCGGTGACTAGCATTTGGTGGATTGAAATGCCACTCTATCCCTTTCAA